AAACGCGGCTTGAATATTCAAAAATGCGATTATGGTTGGTCGACTGAACGTATGGCGGTCTTCAAGTATTTGACGGATCGTAAAGATCTGATCGACACAACTTCGACTAGGGCGAAATCTAGCTTGTTCTTCAAGCAAGTGCTGTTCCCGTACGTAACTGAGCCTCCGCGATAGTAGGGCTGCGATCAGTATGGATGCAGCACAGATGAGACTGAATCCACGATGATTGCAACAAACAGTTCAGTCTTCCTTTTTGTAGACGGGTACGACATGCGCTAGTCCCCAGTCGGATGAGCTGGTTTCGGTAGTCCATTTATTGGGAGATGGTCGGAGGAATTGTATCTGGGTCATGTGAATTGTGGCGCTTTAGCTGGCAAGACTCATATGATACCTAAGTCTGAACCTGTGGAGAAACATCCACGTACCAAGGAGCACGGAGTCCTGGAAAATGAACCCGGTTGGGCTGTTGGCCAGTTGAACTGATCTTCAGAGTGCTCCGTTCAACGGTACCAGATGACGGTGACGACTGTGGATTAGTTCGTCGCCATTTTCACACAAAATCTTACTCACTGTCAACTTTCTGCCTCCCGTGGACCGAATCAGTTGGAAGAGTTTGCAGGAGTTTACTGAGGCGGCTGCTCACTCCATCTCAACTACGCGTTGTCTCCTTCCTGAAATGCTGTCTGAGCGCAGCATCTGTGGTTTTACGAAAGACGTTCGACTCAACTCCAACGGGAATTACTCGAATGGTTTCCATCGATTGGAGAGACTGTATGGAGATCTGATGGCTAACAGCCCGTTTTGTGAAACTAGAACCCAGGGTAGCATACTTTCGTAAGGTGTCTTGAAGCTACGCCCAGTGTGTTTGATCATCAGATGAATGAGGACGCAGCTTTGAGTCTAATGTGTTTTGAAATGCACTGAGAACATTTGGGGCGGTTAGTTTGTCTGTGTCAAGCCGTTTCCGATGATGTTGTTGGGTGTCTCCAAAGCACTGAACGAAATTAACCAAAATGAGCACATGTTCCGAGGTCAACTAAGTGCTACAGTTATACTCCGTTATGCGGCCTCGTCAACGGTAGCTTATAGCGATGTTGTCAACCTGCGTCCACGCTTGACCAGACGCCGGAGGTCACCAGGTGGGGCGTTGGCGCCAGGAACGCCGCAAATTAGTGCCCGAAAGGCACTAGCTGGGATCAGCGCACAGTTGAAGGATGCAATAGCCATTGTCGCTCATGCTAGTACCGTAGCTGGGTTAACCACCAAGTTCACGTTCATGAACCACTAGTCTTACGATATGTGCACTTGCGTCTCCGGTGAACATCAAGATGTCTGTGCGTCATTTCTTACGGAGGAGGCCAGTAAGTTGGCGATAGTACTCGTTTTTAACTGCATCCGGGCTATAGTCCGTGGGAGCGTACGCCGCTGCAACAAACAAACATCGCCTACCAGTCCCATGGCGGATGATCGCATTGAACTTTGTAAGCGGATTGGACAGAGACGGCTGTTGATTGGGAACCCGTCACTAAGCGTTTCCTCGGCTCACGCGCTTCACACAACTCCTACGATGGTGCAACTTTAGGATGCAGCTGTTGCATCATCAGATAAGCGCAAGCTGAATGTGCAGTCTGAACTGGAGGATGATTAGAGTAATCGCAACGTTGTGCTGATGTTCTGTAACGGGTTTTGGTTAAGAAACAAACATCGATGGAGTAGGATTCCAAGGTGCGCACAAGAGCGGATTGTGATCCAACCTGCATAAGCGTTCGAACACTAAGTTTAGCTAGGTTGCATAGCGAGCGGCGTGCAATAAAAGCCTTGCTGTCGAAACTGAATTGCGTGCGATCGGTCTTGAGTGTCTCAGTGATGCGGTCAGAAATAGCTTCCTTTGCAACGCGGCTTCGGAGACTCGAGTGGGGAGGTGGGTTACCAAAAACATTAGAGGGTTGAATAAACGTAGAAAGAAAATGGTAGTTTTCGATGCAGTAGAGTGAAGTTTAGCCTGTGCGGCCGCCAACACTTTGGCCGAAGAGAGAGTCCAGAGAGCAGTTTACCTTAATCTGTCAGCCGCTTCTCAGTGAGTTCGGTAATATCAATATCGTAGCAACCGAGTTCCATGGTGGCAGATGCAGTGCGTCACTTAGGAAACTGATTCTTGTTCCGGTCTCGGATTTTGCGTACGTACCGGCATCCAATTGTGAGATTTTTCTGTGGAGGCATACGGATAAACTGGGTGATCCTGATATACCGCTGCTCTTGATGAACGTGTTTACCCTGTCGCTGGAATCTAGCCACTTTCCAGACCAATGAAAAACGTAATTTATTATTCCACGGCACATAGGAAACCAAACAAACGATTGGTAACTACCGACCAATCCACCATACACTCCGATAATCGCTCGGCTATTTGAAAAACTAGTCACAAAGGAGATAATAAACTTTGTTGATTCTATTGGCCTGATCAATAATGCACAACATAGTTTTCTTAGCAGATGTTCGTGCCCTACTTGTCAACTGCATTACCCGAACCATATTTCCGAGTCAATCGACTCCGGCTATGCATTATTAATTCTGTTTCTTGACATTCACCAACCATTCGACCGAGTACCTCACAAGCGACTGTTACAAAAGTTAGAGGACTTTGGGATCCAGGACATATTACTAGCTTAGCTGTCGTCATACCAGTGTGGTCGTCATCAGGTAGTCATCTTAAGTGACTATCGCTCTTATCCGCGCTCCATCACCAGTGGGGTCATTCAAAAGAGCGTACTCGTTCCTTCACTCTTTCTGCCCTACATCAATGATATCACCAAATCTGTAAAACGTGGTACACCAATTTTGTTTTTTCTCGGCATCAAGATCGTTTCTAAGCTTCTGTGTGAGCAGCTTCGCGGGACGCTACTACTCATTCAAGATGACTTACATTCCCTTGAGCCATGGTGCCGCACATGGGTGCTGAACTTCTCGGCTAAGAAGCCAAGCATCATGTCTTGCGGCTGCTGCATCTCCGAAGGATCTATCACCCTAATCAATGAACGCGTCCGTACACAGCTGTTCACGCGAGATCCTGGAATTAGGTACTCGTCCACCTACAATTTCTCCGAACAGGCCCAATACCAAGTAACACGTGCTAGACAATCAATGTCCAATATATCAAACAAAATCCACGCAACTCATGCTGGAGTTGACCTCTTCAAGCTACGCACGCACCATCCTCGAATACTGCAGTATAATATACGGCAATATGAGAAAGAATTACAGAATTGCTGTGGAGCACCTGCAGAGGTCATTTACTAAACATCTGATTGCTAAACTCTCGGATATGAGTTATCGAGAACGTTGCAACGAACTTCAACTCGAACCACTTTGATTCGACGATTGAAGCACTACTTGCTGCTGCTTTTCGACGTGTTACACAAAAGGACCTACTCTGACCTGTTTACACTCAAATCGAGCGCCTCGCAACAACGGTTTTACGCTGAATATACCGAAGGCTAGAACGAACTTCCGCTCTAATTTCTTCCTGGTCAGATACAACTGTCTGTGGAATAAACTACCAATAACCCTCAGGTCATGTGACAATGTGGCACATTAAGAAGCACACTCTCCACTTACCTTGTTCTAACTACCATGATCTCCATATTCACATGGGAAAATTGTTCGATGAGCTATTCCAAGTGGGGCCAGGAAACATCTAAACGCCAACGCTTTCAAAACCAGCTTTTTCTCTCAACCATCCACCAGAACGTTACTACATGAAACGCATACCCCAATAATCCACCTATTCATGTCACCTATGCAGGAGCGTGGATACTTCTATACCAATTGGTCTGTGTCTCTACAGACGCCGTTTTTCGCATCAGGAGAAATATACCTGTTATTGTTATTGCACTGGACAATCGCCGGGACAGCGAGTTGGGCTTGAGATGAAACTGGAACTGGGAGGGGAAGATGTGGAGAAGGAGGAAAAAGAGAGGTGCCAGTGGTAGCATACTTTTACATATCCGGTAAGCTGTATGTAACAGATAAGACGATCCTTTTCACAGCTGCGGGACGGCGCATGCAACACGAAATTATTAGCTGCTTTTTTTACTATACATGTCGTTGGAATGATACACTGCTCAGGCGTCTGCGTTTTAAAGAGGAAAACGATTCTAATCACTGATCACCGCGTTCGATAAGTGGACTTTGTCAGGATCTTGCAAACATCAGCCCCAGCGAGCCTTGGCCACTTCCATATATATATATATACATATATATATATATATATATATATATATATATATATATATATATATATATATATATATATATAGTGGTGTTTGCCATGTACTTACCGGAGGCGCACTGTATACAGTTAAGCGACACATCTTAATTTATTAAACATGGTATCAGCAGCACACCGGTACGCAGTACCAACGCTTCGCTGTCGCGCAAGCACCACCAGTCCCACATGGGTCCTGAATACTGAGAGGGTCGCCTGGTCCCCTCGGAGGCTCAAATCCGCATCATCGGATTACAAAATAGTCTCGTTATCCCTAAGGCTGCTGACCGGCATCTGCATTTATTACCTTTAAACCATATAGTCTGCTTACACGAATGTGGTAAAATCGTTATCGGGTGAACCTGCTTTGTCATAGACAGCACAGCATCTTACCTTTTACAGTCCAGTGTAATATCGAGGGCTACATTCGCTTGCTCACAGTCTTACCTTATTTTACAGTTCCTTTGGTGGATCAGTTGTATCGAATGACGCTTTAGTTATCCTATGCGGTGGAATACGGACCTGCACGGATGTTGCTGGCTTAACTCCGTACTGTTTGGGCATGGAACTGTTTTTTGCTGTTCGTGCGTTGATTTCCTTGTGGATCGCTGTCAAAGTTTGTAGGTTCTTCCACTCTCTTACGCTTATTCGTTGGTGATGTTTTTTGTACGAAATATGTGCGCTGATTCCCTTAATCTCTCATATCATGTGACCTGCCTTTTGTTGGCCTTTCCAGGTGGTCCGAAGCGGTTTGAAGCGTGATATACTGCTTGATTCATCTGGTGCCCTGTCCGCCGCCACGATATTGGCCCACCAATTTTTACAGATCACATTCCGGCTCAACGTACATCGAGCATTTGGCCCCGGAGAAACTAGATTACCCTTCCCACACCCTCTGAATTTGTGGCAACGTGTTGGGTTGTGGGCTCGAGACACGCCACCTATAGACGGTGCGAATCTTTACGGTGTGCATAACTTTTTCATGGGGCTTTCTCACGATGGAACTGCTTTCGGTGTGTTTCTACTCAATAGTAACGCACAAGAAGTTGCTTTTACTCCTCTCCCATCCATCACTTATCGCGTCATTGGAGGCATCTTGGATTTCTTCGTCTTCACCGGGCCTCAACCCTCCAATGTTATTGCCCAATACTATGATCTAATCGGTCATCCCCCTGTCCCACCCTATTGGTCTTTGGGTTTCCATCTTTGCCGATACGGATATAGTAACCTTACTGAAGTATCTGAAACCTTGGCAAGAAATTTGTTAGCCCAAATTCCTATCGAAGTCCAGTGGTTGGACATTGATTATATGGACGAACTCAAGAGCTGGTCCGTCGATTTGGTAAAGTTTGCAAACTTGGGGAATTTCATCAAAGATACACTTCACGATAAGCACCAAATGAAGTCGGTATTGATTGTGGATCCGGCCATGAGTACGACTGGGGGTTCACATTACATGCCTTACACAACTGGTCTTGATTTGGGTATTTTCATTAACGACAGTCGAACCGGTCAGCCCATTACGGGCACTGTTTGGCCTGGTGAAACAGTGTTTCCTGACTTCTCTCATCCGAACGCTGAGCAATGGTGGTTCGACCTAGCCAACCAATTTCACTTGATAGCGCCGTTCGACGGTCTATGGATTGACATGAACGAACCAGCTAACTTTAATGAAGGATCTCTTGTCGGATGCGATGCCGACAACCCATTGGACAACCCCGTCTTCGTGCCGATGATATTGGACCGACTATTGTACGCGAAAACCTTATGCCCATCTGCTAAACATCACGATACGACACATTATTACCGCCACAATTTGTACGGATACGATGAGGCGGCGACGACCTACCGCATGATGATGCGTCTGTTCCCCGGCAAACGTCCGTTTATCTTGAGCCGTTCCACATTCGCTGGGTCCGGACGCTACACCATCCACTGGACAGGAGACAATCTATCCAGCTGGGCTGATATGAGAACCTCAATAGCACAAGTAATTAATTTCAACATGTACGGTATACCCATGGTCGGTGCGGACATTTGTGGGTTCCGCGACAACGCCACGGAAGAGTTATGCGTCAGGTGGAGTCAGCTGGGGGCCTTTTATCCATTTTCGCGGAACCACAACTCTTTGGGTTCGATTCCTCAAGATCCAGCATCTTGGAGTCCCGAAGCTGTGGAGGCCATTAGAGACGTATTGAATTTTCGTTATTTACTTCTGCCATACTTATACACGCTCTTCTATCGAGCTCATTTGTTCGGGGAAAGTGTAGTGAGAGCGTTAGCTTTTGAGTTCCCTCTTGAACTTGGATCTCATTCGGTCGACACACAGTTCATGTTAGGTTCGTGTCTTTTGATTAACCCTGTACTTGAGGAAGGCCGTACTGAGGTAGATGGTTATGTGCCTTCTGGAGATTGGATCAACCTATCTACTGGTCAGCGCGAACACAGTTACGGTGAGATGATGCACTTCAAGGCCCCGTTGCATGTTATACCGATTTTGCTTCGAGCTGGTTGTGTTCTACCAATACAAACCAGTCCTGGAGTCACCAGTGTTTCACGTAAAAAGGGTCTCAGTTTGTTCGCAGTGTTGTCCAATCAAGACGACGGTAGCGATAGAGCAGGAGTCGAGGCCGAAGCCAACGGTGAACTTTTCTGGGATGACGGGGAATCCCATCCATTGGATTATGTGCACGTTACATTCACAGTGAGAAACCGTTCTCTTCATGTTACTTCGTTTGCGTTGCAAGAAAGTACAGTGGATCGCCTTGATCCCAGAGAAACCGTCCTCAACCTCATCCTAATAACTGGGTTTACACTGTCACCTACTTCGGTTCTAGTTAACGGTCAACCTGTGGAATTCCGCTATGATTTAGACCTACAGACACTACGAATTAAGTGTCCAGAAGCAACTAATTTCACCTCCCAACTGTTGGCTACTTGGAGATTTGGTTAACCCGTGCTTATAAGGGTCCTGCAACTGGGAATATTTTCCAAGCGGTATCAATTTGCCCTTTCCATCTCTGCTTGTATTTTATGTTTCCCTATTTCAACATCTCTGGGAATCAAATAGTTACCGATGTCGGTTTCCATTCCAATCGACTTGTAACGTCTCCCCTAATGCCATTTGGTTTATTCAATGTCCAAGTTGCGCATTAGAAAGGGCGTTCCGTCAACTCGTTGTCTTTTATTCTATGTGGCATTGTCAGCTGCAGAATTGCAAGTAGATATCTCATCTCGGACCAGCCAAAGATTTGAATTCTCATCCTTAAGAATGTGCTTGAAGATAAGTCGGACACTAGTGCCTTGTGTGTGCGAATCATCATCATCGTCATGTTAGCCGAGGGTGGAAAAGACACCTCAGCTAATCTGCCACAGTACCAAAAGATGGGAGATTAAACATTACTGACTACCAAAGCTAAAGAAGTACCACTGTTGAAATAACATTATGCATTTGGTCGAAATGGTATTTGGAGGGCGAAGGTAAAGAAGGAGACAAAGTGGCTCATAACACAAACACCATTGAGGTCGCCTCTCGCCATGTCAGCTAGTGTATCCAAATAGACTTTCATCGCTCCTCGGTCTCCAGCCCGACAGTTAGGAAACACCAACCGACGCCAAGTTCGTAGCGAGGGATTTCATTCCTCTAGACCAAGTCACCACGTGGCCTCCCCTCCTCTTCTTCCATCCACACCCTCGGCGCACAAATAACACACGTCGCTGGCGTCTTTGTGCTGGCATGCGCAACATGTGGCCTAGTCATCGGAGCGTGGTACGTGATATAATGCTCCTGAGCGGTTCGCTAGCTCTTCCTGCACCAAATACGCGGCGCCGGACACGCTCATTGATCACGCGGTGTACCCACTACACATGAGCCAAGCTTCGAAGGCAGCGATAGTCGGCTGCTCTAATGGGTTAGGTTTCGCAACCGTATTAGGATGTTGAACGGACGGCCGCATTTTAAACTGCGCTTCAGCACCAGAGTGATGTCACGCCGACGCCACCGGTGGCAGAGATTGGCGAAAGCACCCCGAGCATTCGTTACACGACTCGTGACTTCATCTTAAGTCCCACGGACGCTATAATAGCTGCCTAGATACTTGAATTTCCTTCCGACTTCTAGCTGATCACCTCCAAGACTTAGCGCAGGAGTACATCCCTGCCAATCTTGAAGAAAGGCTTTGTATTTCGAAGGTGCAAAGCATTGCCTGAAGCGCTTGCCAGCCAGAGCTAATTTATCCGGTGCAGTTTGGCACGTCCGTGAGCTGTCACAGATGAGGGCAATGTCATTGGCATACTCCAAGTCTAGAATTCGGTTACCTGGGGGCAGCTGCACACATTATAAGTCGTGCTCCGTGGACGCCGTTTCCATGACTTCGTCAATGGCAAAGTAAACGAGGTAAGGTGACCACGGTCAACCTTGTTCCACACTGGTGGAGATATTGAAGAGCGGCGAAAGTTTGCCGTAAGCCCTCACTCTGCCCGAACTACGCGCGTACAGCGCACTGATAATGTCTACTTATTTTTCAAGCACGCCTTTCTTAAACAGTCAAGCCCAAACGGCGCATCGATCCACCGAACCGAAGGCACCTTTGACATTGAGGAACACGACTACGGTGGGTCGCCGTTAAATATGGCCTTGCTCTAATAATTGACGTAATGTGAAGGTGTTATCAATACAGCCGCGAAAACGACGAAATTCGGCTTGCTCTTTGCGAATCTGGCTTTCACGGGTGTCAGTTGGTCTATGGAAGACGACAGTGGCAAGTAACTTAGAGGCAATTGAGATCACAGACTGATACTTCTATGACTGCCACCTTCTTAACGGCAGCCTGCCTTGAAAATTGAAATTATAACGGAGTGGCTGCAGTCTCTTGGGATAGTCTCCTGCTCCCATAGGTTCTTTGGCAAGTTATGTAAATCGTTTAAATGAGCAGGGCCCCTGAATTGGATGAGGGCTGGATGAATTCCATCTGCACTGGCGGCCTTGTTCCATTTCGGCCGTCTGATCACACGTTTGATTTCTGTGTATGAGAGCGGATCCAGTTAGGACCCCGAGGAGTGTATCATCCGACAATCAAACGTAGTACAGTATTACTTTTGATATTAAGCCAGGACGAAATTATTTACATGGGCCCGGGAGACACACTTTCAGAATTTTATACGGTCGATCACGCGTACACTTAATTGGCATCATCACGAAATATTACAGTCGTGTAAATGAAATATGTAGAGATACTACTCTGGCAAGCTGTCCTAAATCACCCTGATGGTCTCCGTCGGATCGGAAACTAAGTGTATAACATATACTTAAGTGGTCATGCCTAGTAGGTCTCGCGGGATGTTTGAAGTAGAAATGACAAAATCGACGAAAGGTATGTTGGAGAACTTGAGCGGGTGCTGCTGAACTCATCAGGATGGTTGGCGGCATCCGGTTTCGGATTTGCCTGTCACTGTGGCCAGCTACAGGAAGCTTGCGCCTACAGAAGGACCATGAGTGGCTTGCGCTGCACCACCCACAGCTCCATCCACACACCCCATATCCAGTGTAAACCCAAAGGAATAAGACCGGCAGGCATGTGGATGGGAGCGACGTTTCATCAACGGAGCCGGCCCACACTCCTTCACAGGCAAACAAAAGCACGCTGTATTTAGGGAATCAAGCGCACACAAGGCGGTAGCTGGATCGTTGTCCGCTCCACACTGAGTGCTTGGAACCACTCTTCGAGCCTAGCACGACCACAAGGACCGTGCACCCCGTCCCCTCCAGCAACGACCAATTGTCTCCTGGAGCCAGTATGGTCGAGGTAGTGGGTAATAGACAGGTAGGCACCTTGTCAACATGCACATCAAGCGCAGGCACAGCTGGGATGTCAAACAAAAGCCAATCATTCGAAATGCCGATATCAAATGAAAGATTTCAAATAAAGTAAACGTATATGACGACATAAATACTCACCAAATGAGCATATGGAGGAAATTGCTTATAAGCGAATCCGCGATAAGTGCAAACTGTCCGAAAGTTATTTTAAAAAATCAAGTGATAAAGTTACTCAAGTTTACCACCATTAGCATGAGCGACGTGTGCAAGTTAGGAGAAGATTATCAGGTACGCAGAACAAACCAAATAAAGTGGAATGAAATTTATTCATCCTAAAAGATCTAGTTTTAGAGTGATTTGATTTAGCCCAACTGCGGTGAAGAAGCATCATGAATGCAACATCAGCCTTTAGCCTCATTTGGATACTTACATACTAAAAATCATAAGCCCACCTGGTTTGAATCCACTAGTTGCGTTACCTTTTGGCAAACACAAGTTCGAAAGAGAAATGCAAATGGCGCCATGCGTCGTCAACTCGTTTTTTAACTATCACTAATTCGAAACGGAAATAACCTATGTGTGGAATGTGCTACACGGCTAGACTACTCGAAGGGGGAAGGAATGTCGATGACATTCCAGCTGGTTGTACTGATGGCATCAGGCTAGTGTTTTAGCTGAGTTCCAGAGGATGTTGTTATTCTTCAGGATTTTCTGAAGCATTCTGGGGTCACTTGAAGATGCCGATACTGACCGTTATACGTTTCCAGAAATTCTAAACTAAGCTGGTATGCCGACGATAATGGTCCACCAACATTCTTAGATACCTCTCGTTCCGGTGCCTCGAGAGCGACGATATTGTGCCTACTTACTCTTTTGTGGGACGATATCCGACTGCACTTTCGAACGTTAAGGCGTAGTGTAGCCTCAGTGCATTGTGTCTTTCCTCAGCGATTTCTGCCCTGCTATCTACTGTGACGATTTGGGAGATGAAAGTCACCATGCTATACATTGCGATGGCTGTTGACATACTTGTACAGTAGCGTGCTGCATGTACGAAAATTTGTAACTATGCTACTTTGACATGTAACTTTGTCCTCACGCATAAGTGTGGTGCGATGGTCCAAGGAATTCTCCCAGCTTTCGTGATAACGATTGACCAAAACTGCTTGTCATGCTGCGTTCTCTATTCCCATGCATCTCCGAGTCCTGATTCTGATAAATGATGGCTCCATTACGGAACATACGCTAGCATGTAATTATGGTACGACGCAGCGTGAGAACCTAGAATTTTAAACTTAGGAAGATTGGTCGATAAGGTATAGGCTCCGATAGATCACCGTGTGGTGAGAGAAACGGGTCGTTTAAATCGTGGAACAGGGAGTTGACACGTGTGCCAACGTGTATGCAATCAAGGAAATCAAATGCGTCCGAAGCTACTCTGCTGCATCTGGCAGTGGGCCTCATCGACCGTGAACGCCAGATATTATTTTATTCAAGATCATAGAAAACTAACGACTGACGTTATGGCTGATGAGAAAGAACACACAGTCAAGAATCCAAAAATCGTCAAACAGGGTGCTGAGAACATTTAGTGTCTGATGTCATCAAATGATAACCTTTCTAATAAAGCGCTCCCGATGTAGTACGCTCGTAACACTGTATTTAAAGCCACATCGAAATTTCTCCACTTCGGATGCAGTCTCTATTATCTGAATTACCAAGATCTCGATGGCATATTCCAAATGGCGTTGCACTTCGGCGTTAGGCATTTGTGTAAAGATAGAAGAATCAATCTACTAAGCCTTTAGCGCAACAAGTCGACGTCCTGATCCTCGGGTTTCGATGCCCTTTCATATTGTGTCGAACAGTCAACTTTATCCTGAAGCGGCATCCCGAGAACACGCTCTTGGCGGCGGATTTTATGTAGCATGGAGTCCCCAAGTCTATTGCATTTGTCAAATAATAACTGAAATTAACCACCTTACATTCCGCCACGTTCAAGTCATTTGATTTTTTCGTCCACCGTCTATGAACACCTTGCAGGTGGAGGAGATTGTAACCTTCATAGTTATTTATTACTGCTTCTATCTTGACATCGTCGGTAGAAAGATAGGCTAAAGCGCTTGAAAATGCATTGCAACGAACCCTGTGGGGCACCGCATTCTATCGGTTCGGTTGGAAATTGATCCCATACATTTTTGTACAGTCTCCGCTGGGTGAGTGTTTCTTGATTCATTAAGGAGCAAAGTCCACCATTCCATATATGAGCATGAGATGCAGTGATTAAGGCGCTTCAGATCTTTGAAAAAATATTGGAAGATTACGTTTATTTCGGTTAGCGAGTACTTGGTTGTGCTTCAACTTGTGGTACGAAACCCTTGCGAAAGCGTGCAACTACGCAGCGGGATATGCACGGTAGACAAGTCGGGAAAGCCCAATGTAGCTGCATAGCTACACACCAACGGTTATAAAACGATAACCACACCAGACATTTCAAGTTCTCAATGTTTTACCCTTTTTGTTAGTACCGCAACGTTTTGGTATTTTCTTGCCGATTTTGCAAAACATTGCAATGAGCACGCGTAAACGGGACATGCAAATATGTTAGACATACTCTGGGAGGAGAAAGTAATGTTATTGAGTATTCGTTAGATAGGCTGTAGCTGTAGTTTCCACTGGAGCAGCATGACTGTTCAGAGGTTGCAGAGCTGGCTGCGATGATGACGCAGGCTGAGGAGCTCTTTGTTGCACCGGAGAGTCAGAGTCGTCCAGATATGATGATTTGCGTCAGTCGTTATTTAGCATCTCAATTGTATCATTTTGAATAATATAAGTGCCTTGCGAACTTTGCATGTGACTTGACACGAGTCAGCTTAAGGGGATAGAAGCGGTCGACGTACGCTGCCTGTGCGAACGAACACGTGAGTTCAGTGAAGTAGGCATTTGTCCCGGTCGGTGCACGTGCTCTATGTCTTGTGTTGCGAGCGAGCGGCGTAATCGCAATAACTGAGATTTGTTAGAGCCTTTGGTGAAACAAGTTCACTTGGTAAGCGCAGTATGCAGCCAACATCTAACGATGATGAAGTGCAATACATGCCGGATAAATAAATTTGCTCAGCCTATCTGGAGTGTTCCCCGCTATTAATTCCTCCCAACACCATCAGTCATTACCTTTTGATTTATTATTCCACTTTGCATGCGAAGCCCCAGTTACTCTGTCTCTTAGCCACATTATGAACATTGCTTGACCACGTGAGTTTACCCTTGTCTCGCTCAATGGTGGAGTTTGCTGCATCCACACTGCTTCACTATGTGCATTAGCCGAAAAACTCATCGGTCTACATACGCGTGACAGCCACTCAGCTGTCGTGCTGTCGATCCTGTTACACTCAGACGGTCATCTCAACTGCGCCATTGGTGCGTCTCGTGTTGTCTTTCTTCAGGCTAACTTCTGACCACCCAGCGTATGTGTATGCGTTTAGTCACCCAGTTTGTGTCTTGTTTTGCTCTGAAGCGGTTCTTGCGGTTTCACACAGCACTAGATTGTACATTTTGTGCTTGAGTACAGCATTTGAGCTTTGTCATATTTTGATGTTTATTGTATCTTACTGGCACCGTAGTGAATCCGGACTTGAATTTTGACTTATTCCTGAGATCGTGGGTCAGCTCCGGCTGGTGAATTTGTTTCCGGTGATCTGTGATCTGTTCCAGTCTTTGTTGTATTTGGCAACCCGAGACTGCGCGTTCTGCTTAAGGTTCTTACGCGTTTTGACGCTTTCAGCATTCGGGTCCACTTTAATCGTTTTTCCTCTGTGCTATATTTGAAAAGAATTGTTTTTTTTGATTTAACGATTGAATCTTTCTCGCATTATTTTAGCTTTGGAGGGGAAGGCGGTTGTTCGGTTTTGCTAAGAACCTGGTAACTAACCAATTTCCTTCAGAACCCGTCGATATATGATCGGCTATCACTACTGATTACAGCAAGACAACCACATTGCGCTATTCTGCGTTCCATCAAATCGCATGGAACTCTCTCTGATCAGCACTCGGCCATTAAAATCACTTCCTTCCGATGTGCAAATCCGTCGACACGTGGATAGTTAAGGGTAGTCTTTGTATTGTGTCAAAATGCTGATGGTCAGCGTGAATTTGTTCAAGACAAGAGTCCGGATGTGGAAGTAGCTAATTGGGATTTTTGATGCGTCTAGAAACTTTTACACGTTGACATTAGCCTGTTCAAATGTGGACATCGCGGTTAACATCAGGGCAAACAAAGCATTTGGATTT